CAGGTGGGATGGCTGGAGGAAGTAAGTCACTGGGAGTGTGTGCTTAGGGTTTATATTTAGTACCCTGATGCTTTCTCCTCCTCTCTTTCTGCTTTTGGGCTTTTGAGCAGCTTCCCTCCACCATGCTCTTCTCTTAGGATGTTCTTTTGGACTGGAGCAGTGGAGTTGGCTCACCTTGGACTGAGCCTATGAAACAATGAGCCAAAACAAACTTTTCTTCCTCTAGATTATTCTTGTCAGGTATTTTGTTCATAAACATGAAAAGTTGACTAAAACCAATAAAGAAGTAAGTGGAAAGGGGAGGGCACTCAAACCTAAAAGGGCATCCTAGCCTTTACCTCTTTCTTGACTTCCTACTCCACATTTATAAACTTTCTACTGTATATTATTTGGTATCCTAAATTCTCCATGGCTAAAATTTAGGGCATCATATTCTCCCCAAGTGTTATCTTCCTATTGGCTTCTATTTATATTCATGATACTGCTCTTCTCTGTACTTCACAGACTGGAAATATGTTAGCTATGTTTCTAGATCTCTTATTCCTGTTCCTATTACTTGTTTAGACCTTCCCATCTTGCACTTGGGCATCTTGCACTGTCTCTGTACTTTCAGACTCTTCCCATTCTGATCTGCCTTGCACACTTCCATAAAATTAATTGTCCCATAGTGTAATGTGAAGTATGCCATTTTTCTGCTCAAAGTTCCTTTAACATTTTCTCCATTGTTTGATTAATACTTGAAAATGGCATCAGATGTCTTAAATAAACCACAAATCACTGACTTCTCAGTTTATCATGGTCTAGTTTGTCTGCACTAAATACTAAGACCATAATTTGAACTTGTTCACCTATGTTGTTTTAAGTTGTATTATTCTATGTCTCAAAATTTATTACTTTCTGGCTCATTCTCACATCAAATATTGTTTATTTTTTGAACTTCCATGTTCATAGAGTTATTTGTCTATTGCTGATTTTCATGATGCTTAATTTCTGTGTTTCTTATGTAGTTATTTTACTTACAGGCAACTTATAACTGTGTTTTATTTACTCTTATGACTGATAAACTCTTTGATGCCAGGGAATTTTGTCTGGCTTATCTATCTTTTACTACAGCATTTAGTAGCAAGGTTTGCACATTGTAAGTAGCCAGTAAAATTTTGTTCAATAAAATAATAAGATGCAAACAGTTTAGAAATCACTAATCCTTCATGAAAGACTTAATTTAATGTCATTGCCATAACCCCTCCTCAAATTTGTCATATTTTATATTGACAAAAGTCATTTTTGTTTCTTTCTTTTATATCTGGTTATTTACAGATGGGACTGCACTGGTATAGAATTGTAAAGTTGAAAATTTCAGATTTCTCTACTTCATTATCTGATTTTAGGTAAAGTTGTACTTTTTTAGTCAGCTTTGCATCAAAGGTGAGAAAAAATTTATTTTTGGCTTAAGATTTCAGAGATTCTGCTGTCCTTCCTTTTCCCCCTTCAGGAAGGACAGCAGAATAAAATAGACATTATTATTGCTGTGTGTATATAAGTGACTGCATGACCAATGTGATTCTGCAGCCTGTACACTCAGAAAAATGAGAAATTATATCCAATCTGATTCAAATGTATGATATGTCAAGATTATTGTACTGTCATGTGTAACTAATTAAAACAAATAAAAAATTATAGAAAAAAGATTTCAGAGATTCAGTCCATGTCTGGCTGACTCCATAACTCTGAGCCTGAGGTGAGATAGAAATTCATGTTGGAATAGCATGGCAGATGAAATCTGTTCATCTCACGACAGCCTGGAATTAGAGAGAGAAAGAGAGACTGAGGTACCAGGGACAAAATATAAACCCCAAAGTCATGTCCCCAAGACCTACTTCCTACAGCTATACCCTTCTTGCTTAGAGTTACCAGTTAATTCATTCAAGTGCAAATTAATCCACTGATTAGTTTACAGCTCTTCCATTGTATCGTTTTACCTCTGAATATTCTTGTACTGTCTCACACAGGAGCTTTTGGCAGACAACTCATATCCAAACCATAACATGTATTTATTCTCTCCATCTTCTTGACTTAATAAATGTGCTTACTAAATCTTTCTACCATTTTCTAGATGTTGCTTTGCAAACTTAGTGTTGTACCAGAATCCACCTGAAGGATTTTTAAATTCCTGAAGTAAGAGTCTTGCCCAGATGAAAGAAAACAGATCTTTGGGAGTGGGATGAAGTATTTGTTTTTACCGTTGCAGGTTATCCCAGTCTGCTGGCAAGGTTGAAAACCACTTTAATAAAGACTTTTTCTTTGGAAATTTCCGAGTATCAGAATGACCTAAGTAACATGATAAACTTAGAGTGGCTTAGACCCTAAACCATTTCAATATACCTAGTCCTTAGGTCCTTTATTAGGTTTTCAGGCTCTTCTGATGATGCAGAAAAACTGGTATATCTCAGGACTCATTTAAAATTGAAGGCATAGCAGGAAGAATTTTCAGATGAGTAGAATATTTTTTTCAGTAACTGAAATAATCAACAATTTGAAATGTGTTTATAACTTTTTGCCTGGGGTATTCTTTTTTTTTTTATTACTGTCATATCTTAACCCTTAATAGAATAAAGGCTTATTTATATTTTCTTCTGGCAGCACTTATTCTTCTCTACTTCTTTCTTCAGAAAATTGAAGTTCTGTTTTATAAAACTAGTTTTGTGGGGTGTATATATTCCTGTTGGGCATTAGAGGGCACTATGGAGTAAACAAATTTCTCAGGAAAAGGAAAAGTTTCTGATAGATACTGGAAAGGTATCCAGACTTGTGTCAATCGGTGATTGCCTTGATGATCAAATTCCATAGCCAACTGAAAAAAATCTACAAGCATATGTCTTCATAGAAGGGGGAAATAAGGGACTGTGGTTGTGGCTCAGTGGTAGAGTGCTCTCCTAGCATGCACGAGGCACTGGGTTTGATCCTCTGCACCACATAAATGTAAATTAAAGACATTATGTCCACCTAAAACTTAAAAATAAACATTTTAAAAATAAGAATTGGGAAATAAATGACTATTTTCATAGAAGGAGAATGTAAATAATAAAGGTGAGATTCTCCATGTCCTATACACGGTTCTTTTTAAAAGAGGACAATAAAGAAATAGATTCTTTTAAAAATTGAAATATAATTCACATACCACAACATTTACCCATTTAAAGTATATAGTTCAATATATTCACAGTATTATACAATCTTTACCACTAAGTGAATTCAAAATATTCCATCTTCCCCAAAGAAACCCTGTACCAATTAGTAATTATTCCCTATTCTCTCCTCTCTCCAGCCCTTTACTGGTGGGATTGGTTCATTCTGGACAGTTTATATAATATGTGGTCTTTTGTTTCTTCTTTCATTTAGTGTAATGTTTTCAAATTGCAGCCACATCATAACATACATGATTTACTTTTTCCTGTTTATAGAAAAGTAATATTCCATTGTATGAATATACCACATATTGTTTATTCACCAGCTGATTTGCATTTTTCCACTTTTTGGTTGTTATAAATAATGTGCTAGGAATACTATGTATAAATTTTTTTGTCTGTAAATATGTTTTCATTTTTCCAGGGTACATGCCTAAGAATGAAATTGTTAGGTCCTATAGTAACTCTATGCTTAACTACTGAGTAATGATCAAACTATTGTGGCCACAGCACACAAGAGGGTTCTAAATTTCTTCATCCTCACCAACACTTCTTACTGTCTATGGCTTTTTAAATTATAGCCACTCTTTGTTGTTGTTCTTTTTAGATATTATAGCCATTCTAAGTTTTTCAGTGCAGCTTTGATTTGCATCCTCAAAACAATAGCTTCTTTTATACTTTCAAACTTAGTCATTTATTTCAAAGATGTAATCTATATTGACACATATATCTATCCTTCAGTTCTTTGGGTAGTGTGCTGGCTATACTGTAATGAAGTTTTACACTGTTTTCCTCCTCCTCACTCACATTCTTTTCTTCCTTTCTGGTGACCAGGTGCTGACAAAACTGCATTCCTCATGGGCACTGATTCTTTGGAGTTCGTGAAGGGCTCTGTCCATCCTAAAATCAAAGTTGGTAATGGATATATTTCCAGAAGTCAAAATATAGAACAGGTAGGATGATATTTCAAGGGCATTATAATTACATCATCTTGTTATAATTGTATACACATTGTACTTGCATATTTTGCAACTACTGGGAATGACTGCAGTAAGGGCTTCTATAAAAAGAACAAAAGAACTACTTTGATGAGTATTCCAAATATTTTTATGTATAATGAAAATCATATAAAAAAACTCTTCAATTAAGAGCCTTTCTATTCTGCAATATGTTTTGACAGTTTTCCCTTATGTAACAAGTTTCTTTGTAGATGTAGACAAACCCATCATGTATTGCAATGAACATCTTAGTTGTCCAGTTAAGAATCTTTCATAAGTATCGATTTCTGACATGAATTAAATTGATAAATTGGCATCCCTTAACTATTTGGCATATTGATTTATTTAGAGTAACAGACACATGGTGGCACATTAGTTGAGAAAAGGTTTCAGAACATATGTTGAAGTTAGTATTTGAAGGGACAGGGAATTGAACAGATAGGAGAGGTGGAAGGTAATGTAAGTTTTACTTAGGGAAAGAATAACAAATAGTTTGAGGACTGTTGA